TTACCGTTACTATTGGATTGTGAATGGTTTGAATAATGACTATAATTATTTCTGTTAGTACTAGGATTTTTTTGGTGATTTCTATTATTGTTATTTCTAATTTTAGTTTCCAAAGGATTATAATACGCGTAATTTCCTTCGTGTAAAATATCTATTGCCTCTTCGAGAGTTGAAGGGTTTCTACTAAAAATTATCGAACGCATGGGTTCGGGTAGTTTGTCTTTAAAAATTTCTAACGCGGTCTTAATATTTGTATCGGTATTAAAGTTTGAGTTAGGTTCTTCCTTTACTTTATTATTTAATCTTCTTAAAATACTTTTTATGTTATTATATAACTCTACACTATTAGAAGTAAACGTGACGTCCCTTAGTTCATTATAAATTTTGAGTGAATTTTTCTTTTCTCCAAAATTTTTTATTAAAACTTCGCGTATTTCAGGCCAAGTCTTTGCATTATTGTTTATTTCTATTATCGTTCTAGCTTTACTAATTAATTTACTTTTAATTCTACTAAAAAGTAAATTCTGATTACTTATATCATATTTAATTATAGATGGAATTATTAATTCAACTAATTCTAAGAAATTATTTAAGTCGTTACCTTTCCCATCAAATTCTGGCAGACGTTCGATGTATTTTAGTGGATCTATCTGTAACGTAAGTTGTTGATCTTGATTTGCTTGAGATGTCCCGGTTAATGCTTCCATGTCTGAATCCTCTTCACTCTTCTGGTAAAATTTCTTTGCTGTTGTTCTAGCTCTTCTGATAGCACTTTCGCGTTTGAACATTCAAATTTAATTTTTTTATTTGTTGATTGTTTTATTTTTTTATTTTGTTTTTTTTTTTTTTGTTTCTCTACAGGTTTTTGTTAAAATTGGTTTTTATCATAAAATTTTTTATTGTAATTTTTGTTTTTGTTAGGTTAATTAAATTTTAATTTCTTATAATTTTTATTAGTTTTATTTCTTGATGAATAATTATTAAATTTAATTGTTGTTTTGTGAGTTCGTTTTTAACAGTTAACTTTGAATTTTTTCTGATTTTAATGCGTCACAAAAAATTTGAAAATTTAAGTGTAACGTTTTTAGACAATTTTAATTAAATTAATTTTTTAATTTTTACACTTTTAGGGTTTTTTTTTTTTTTTTGACAAATTTATTTAACATAAATTTCTTTATCATACTTGTGTAGTTTTACAATTATTTAATTAAAATTTTATTATTACACTTGACGCATCCTACCGACTGCGCCAATTTTATTTTAATTTTTTTTTATTTAAAGTTTTCTTGTTTAAAATAAATGCACAAAGAGTTCAATTTACAATTTTATTTTATTTTATTTATTAATCAAAGTTTTTATTTAAAATAAATGCACAAAGAGTTTAATTTACAATTTTATTTGAATTTTATTTTATTTTATAAATTCAACAAGTTAACTTTCTTAAGTTTTAACACGAACTAACTTCTTATCATTACTTTTACTTTTTAATTTTTTTATTATTTTTTTTTTTTTTTTTATATTCATTTAATTCATATAATTTCTTCATGTAAAAAACTATAAAATAAGAATTCAATATCATATTAACTAAAGTAATGGCCCCCTTGGAGCTCTCTAAATTATACATTATTTCCATTTGAAAATTGGTTTTAACAAATCTGTATTATATTATTTACTTTTAATTTATATTAATACATTTATATTTACATTGGGTGCAAAAAGTCTTAAAAAAAACACCCTAATCTTTAATAAAAAGAAAATTGAAAATTCTAAACTAATCTAAATTTTACTATCCTAAACCTAAGAAAAAAAATTGTCAATTTAACCACCAATATTGACTTCTGTGTGTTGTAATACTCTTGTCTCTATTAGAAATGTCCTTACTGAATTTCGTCCTTTCGTTCAAAGTATATGGGCAATTTATTATAGATGTGTCTGTAGCTCTTCTGTTAAAATGATATAGAATTGGGATTCTATCTTGATTTTGTATAATTCCCATTTTGTCGAGATATATAAACCCCTCTGGGGGAATATAACCACTTGTCATAGCTTCTTGTATGTATTGGTCACTTTCATGTTGAGAATGGTTTATAAGGGAGTTTTCTTGTACTAATGCCGCACGTCTATAAAAATTTCTTGTTAGTGATATTATAAAATTATCGATTCTAATTATTTTTGCTTCGTTGTAGATGTTTCTGTTTGAAATGTAATGTTTATAATTTGTTTCGCTTTTTCTGTATTTGTTTAGGCAAGCCCTCATGCATTTCCTTTCAAACTTTCTTGCTTCTTCCATTACAGATGCACTAACATTGAACCATGTCGGGCAACCATATGTTAAGACAGGTCTAATAAGTGTCTGATAGGCAATAATTTTTACTCTGCTGTCAAGGCGTTTGCAATAAAATAAATTTTTTGAAATTGCGAAAGCCTTTCTTGCTTTATCGATCTGCCGTCTCAAGTGCAATGTAAAGTTGAGATTATTTTGGAAATGGACACCTAAATATTTTACATTAGGGCTGGTACAGATATTGATGTCATTAGTTGCTCTAATTTTAAATTGTTTCCAATTTTTTCGAACTGATATGTGACATTTTGAGACATTTTTCCTGAAAAGAATGAGCTCACATTTGCTATAGTTAATTCTCATTTTCCAAGAGTTAACATAGCAGTTCGTAAGTTCAAACATGTTTTCAAGCTCATTTTGAATATCTTCTTGTTTTCTACCGCCCACATATAGACAAAGGTCATCTGCGAATGCAATAGCGTATTTTTTACACTCAGAGTTTTGCATCGAATTCAGCTGTTTTAATAAATCATTTAGGTATATTAAGAACAGGACAGGTGAACATACTGTACCCTGTTGTAGCCCATTACTAATATGAAAAAGTTCTGATGAAAATTGTTCAGTATTAATGTAAAAAGATCTATCGCTAATCATGTTTTTTATTAATATTATTAGGTGTTTTTCAAAATTCATTTTCACAAGTTTATAAATAAGCCCTTTTAACCAGACTTTTGTAAATGCATCGCTTAAATCTATTAGCAAACCACCCACACAATTATTTTCATTGATATTCCAGCAAATATTTGACATAAATACATTAGTAGCATGGACTGTTGAATGATTTGTTCTGAAACCAAATTGATTATCTTCTAAAATTTTATTCTCATCTAAATATTTTGTTATTTTCATTTTAATTAGTCGTTCAAATACTTTACTCATAGTTGATAGCAAGCTTATAGGTCTGTATGAATTTGCACATGTAGGATCTTTACCTGGTTTTCTTATCGGTATAACTTTGGCCTTTTTCCAAAATTTGGGGAAATAACAGTTGTTTATCGCGTTGTTAAAAATGATCGTATAATAATAAATAGCTTTTTCTGGGAGGTGTTTTAATACAATGTTGGGAATACCATCAATTCCAGTAGATTTTTTATTTTTTAATTTATGTATAATATCTTTAATTTGATCAGATGTAACAAAATATTGATTATCGTTTTGATTTACTGCTATTGTATCTGCTCTGCTGACATTAGAGAACTCGCAAATATTGATATTTTGAATTGTACTGTTTTCAAAGTATTCTTGCGTGGCATTATTAATTTCATTTATTAGAGTTTCACTTGCTGTTTCGTTTAGTACATGCTTATTTTGGAAATTTTGGCCTAGTACGCTTACAATTAGTTTTTTGTCTTTTATTATAAAATTGTTATGTTCATCTTTTTATATATTGTGTGTTATGTCTATATCTGTATCTATACAATCCGCTTCTTTAATTTTAATTAAATCAATTTTGCTACTTTCGTTTTTTCTGAATAGTTTATTTAGTGCCGGAAACATATTACTGCTGGGTTTAATTTTTTTAACTTTGTTAGTCCAATATTTATTTATTCCGATAATATAATTTTGTTGTATTAGTGATTTTATATTTTTTATTAAAGATTTTATTACTTGAATTTCTGAATCATGACCATTCAACCCGAATCTATACATAGTATGAAGAGTCCTTATTAACACACTTTTCTTTTTATGTAATTTTTTTATTATATGATTGTTATAATCTCTAAATATTTCTTTTTTCTTCTTACTAGGTATTGATTTTTGCATGTTATTTACAATTATTTCATTGAAAAGCTTTAATGTTTCATCTATTTCGTCGTTTGTTAAATTTCTACTATTTGGTAAAGAAGTATCTAAGTTTAATTCTTGTATTTGCTTTTCTATTGTAGTCTGAAACAAATACCAATTGGCTTTATTGAAGTCTAAAAAATGTTCTTCATAGACTTCTGTATAAATAGCTGTTTGGTTGTCTTGCAAATCTATTTCTGATGAGATTGCGCGATGGTCACTATCAAATGTTATTGTATCTAGGTTTTCCTTAAAGAATTTTAATCTTGTATCAGCTAAGAATAAATCTAAATATGATCCAGATCTGGGGTAGGTTGGTTCTGTACTGCAATAAATTTTTGTTTTATATGGAATTTTATTAGAATTTATCCATGCATCTAACGATTTACCCCTTTCATTGTAGCAGTTATTTCTCCAAGTCACATGCTTGGCATTAAAGTCGCCTCCTATTATATAATAATTATTCGGGTAATCTAATCGATTTAACTCAAAAATATCTCTGATTTCTTTAATAAAATAATTATTATTATAATGTGAAGCATACAATGAAATCAAAATTAATTTATTATTGTCATTTAAACTGATTATGGCGGTTGTAGTTTCTATGCATTTAAAATTTTTTTTTTCAATAATACCATTACTAGCTTCATATATTATATTTTTCTTTATTAGAATTGCAGTACCTCTTTTGTCACCTATTTTATCATTTCTAATTATGTTATAATCAGAATAAGACAACCTATGTTCCGCAGGGAGATTTGTTTCATTTAACATAACAATATCAGGCTTTTCTTCTTCTAATAACAATTTTAACGCTTGTTTTTTTTGTATTGATATTAATGAATTTACATTTAGTGCTATAATTTTCATGGTATTAATTATCATCATTTCTTAGTATATTAAATAGTATATCTATTCTTTTCGAATTTTCGTTAGCAGTATTATTCAATTTTTCTAATCTTGTCATAATTTGTTCTAAGCAATTTTTGATATCATTTTCATCAGTATTTGGTTTGGTTTTGTTATTATCTTGGAATAAACTAGAGAATGTTTTGTTCGGATTTATGTAGGATGTGTTTACTAGCTGTCTCTCACCCATTCTTATATTTTTGATATCCTTTTTTTTATTTTTCATTTTATTTTTTAGGTTTTGGTATACAGGGCATCCTTTAAAGGATGCAGGATGTCCAGATGCTTTGCATAGTACACAGTATGGTTTGATTTCATGGTTCTCTGATCTATTTAACTTGCATTCACCAGGTCCGTGATTTTCACTACATTTGACGCATCTGTATTCTAATCGGCAATTTGGTGCCGCATGACCAAATCGTTGACAGCGCTTGCATTGTAGAATATCATTTTTTCTTAGTTTTTCCCAATGTACTAGTTGATTATTTACGTATTTTATGTTATACAGTTCTTTTGGATTGCTGTTGGGACTGATTTGTACAAGGAATAAAGGTAAAATTTTATTTTCATTTTTACTTTTGGTGGTTGAAAATCTGTTTACTTTTACAAATTCTATTGAGTTGCAATTTAATTGACGAAGATATTCTTGTATATCCTGTTCATTTTCATTAGCTTGTAAGCCTTTTAGTAGGTATGTCTTATTTTTTTCTATAGATGGTGTAAATGAATAATAGTCGGCTTCGATTAAATCTAAACCTTCTTTAACTTTTTTGTACACATCAAGATTCTCTACATAAATTGCATGTTTATTATTATTAACTTGTTTTATATAGTAAAGTTTTTTATCAATATTTATCTTATCAGTCATAATTTTTATAATATCTTTAGGTTCAGAATTCATAACATTTATTGGTGGTAATTTTGTGATTTTTTTTTTATTATTATTGTTTTCACTAACATCAATACAATCAGATTCTTTACTGTCCGTCTGATTATTTTTTTCTTTTTTTTGTTGTTTTTTTATTTTATTTTTCTCTTTCACTGTTTCGATAAATTTATTTATATTGTCGTATTTATTGTTAACTTCGACTTCAATATTATGATTGTTTTCGTTTTCATCATTCTCATCAATATCAATGTCTTCACTTAGCATTGCAAATTGATTATCAGATGTTGATGATGTTTGCAAAGGCACGTGTTTATTGTTGTTGCTAAGCTGTGTCACATTTTTAGTTTGAATTAATTTTTTTAAATTTTGGTTTTCTGTAATAAGACTATCAATAATTTTTTGCAAATCACTCTTTTTTTTGTTTGACATATTTTTTAAGTTATTTTGTTTTCTTTTAAATGATGTTTTGGCGTTATTTGCTTTTCTATTTTTATTTTCGTCACATTTTATATTGTCTTCTTGTTCATTCATTTGAATCAAACTTTAGTTTTTTTAATTCACTCTATAAATTATTGATATTATTATATATTTATAATAACACAATAATATAAAGGAGTAATTATTTGATTATATTAAACTTTTATTACAATTAATTTTATTAATAATTTTTATTTTGGTTGATATAACTACGAAACGAATTGAGAACACGTCTGCACTATATAAACGTTCGGAAGGAACTGATTTTTTTATTATTTTATAAAAGAACAAACGCTTTACAACAACAATTATTACGTTTGCCATTGACCTACTTATTATTACGAAATCTTAAAATTAAAACTTAATTCATAATTTTTTATTGGTGTTTCAAATTCATTAACCTTTGTGCATACGTTCTAATGTTTCAAGCAAAAAATAAGTTCATTTGGCTTTTCGCTTGAAACTTGAAACTTTTATATAAAAAAAAACAAAAGGAAATAATGAATGCAAATTTTGATTTTAATAAAAAGAATAACGTTAAATTAAAAGGTAATGAAATTTAATTAAAAATGAAATTACGAAATTATTGAAAGGGTGAAATATTTAAGTTTCCATTAGATTGATACGCGTGTTGTGTTGCTAACATAACACCTCCGCCATTAAGATTCGACTCCTGGCGAATTTCGCCCGGTTGTATTACGATTTTTGGTGAAATTAATTTAAACTTTACAAAAACGAAAAGGCAAATAATGAATAACACTGTAATTATGATTAAATCTAATATTAAATTCGTGTACCAGCTTTTGTGATGACTGAATTTCAATTCCTCGATGTGCTTTGTATTATTTATTTGTGTGTAATACAAATCATCTACATGAAACTGATTTGAAATTTTTGCTACAGTTATATTGCGATTTACGTATGGTGAAATTCTATGATGATATTCTTGTTCGGAATTTTCTAGTTGGAAAGATCCAAGAGAAGTTTTGCAATTGGTAAATTTTATTAAGTTATTTGCTCGTATTATTATATCACTTTGCTGGCCACAATTATTATAAAGAGTAGTTTCTTTTAGATTTTTTGTTATAATAATACTTCTGGATATTGGTTTTATCTCTACTGCTAAATTTTGTTTATAATGGCAAGTCATTAGATTTGTGGTTAATAAATTTGAAACACATTCATCCTGAATTGGGATGAGATTTTTTTCCTGAATATTATTATTTTCTACATTTTTAAAAATTTTTGTGTTACAACTTATTACTTTATTAAAATTAGTATCTAGTTCTAAATTAGTATCTTTATTTGGTACCTTAACAATTATATTCCTAAAGCAATTTTCTTTGAGAAAGTTAGGTATTGAAATTACAAAAACAATTGTTGTATCATTGAAAAATACAGAATTTCTTATGTATGGTAAAGTTTCTACACTTACATTATGGTTATTGATTTCTTTGTTTGTAAGAACATCTTTTGGTAAAATTTCTAACCTACTTAACAATATGATTTCTTTAATGTTTTCAATTTGTTCCAATAAAATCTTTATATTTTCACTAATTTCATTTTTTATTATAAAAAGTTCAAATTTTGTTTCAATTTCTGCTATACGATTACTAAAATTATGGATGATTTCTTGAATTTGGTCTTGAGTTGTGATTATTGGAAAATGGACTCCTGCTATTGTTATTATTATTTACTATAACTATTACTAAATTCATTATTATGGTTAAAATTATTGTTCCTATTGTATCCATAAAAATTGGAGCTTTGATTTCGATTATTTGGATTATTAAAGTTTCTGTTAGTATTATAATTATTCCTATTAAAATTGTTACCGTTACTATTGGATTGTGAATGGTTTGAATAATGACTATAATTATTTCTGTTAGTACTAGGATTTTTTTGGTGATTTCTATTATTGTTATTTCTAATTTTAGTTTCCAAAGGATTATAATACGCGTAATTTCCTTCGTGTAAAATATCTATTGCCTCTTCGAGAGTTGAAGGGTTTCTACTAAAAATTATCGAACGCATGGGTTCGGGTAGTTTGTCTTTAAAAATTTCTAACGCGGTCTTAATATTTGTATCGGTATTAAAGTTTGAGTTAGGTTCTTCCTTTACTTTATTATTTAATCTTCTTAAAATACTTTTTATGTTATTATATAACTCTACACTATTAGAAGTAAACGTGACGTCCCTTAGTTCATTATAAATTTTGAGTGAATTTTTCTTTTCTCCAAAATTTTTTATTAAAACTTCGCGTATTTCAGGCCAAGTCTTTGCATTATTGTTTATTTCTATTATCGTTCTAGCTTTACTAATTAATTTACTTTTAATTCTACTAAAAAGTAAATTCTGATTACTTATATCATATTTAATTATAGATGGAATTATTAATTCAACTAATTCTAAGAAATTATTTAAGTCGTTACCTTTCCCATCAAATTCTGGCAGACGTTCGATGTATTTTAGTGGATCTATCTGTAACGTAAGTTGTTGATCTTGATTTGCTTGAGATGTCCCGGTTAATGCTTCCATGTCTGAATCCTCTTCACTCTTCTGGTAAAATTTCTTTGCTGTTGTTCTAGCTCTTCTGATAGCACTTTCGCGTTTGAACATTCAAATTTAATTTTTTTATTTGTTGATTGTTTTATTTTTTTATTTTGTTTTTTTTTTTTTTGTTTCTCTACAGGTTTTTGTTAAAATTGGTTTTTATCATAAAATTTTTTATTGTAATTTTTGTTTTTGTTAGGTTAATTAAATTTTAATTTCTTATAATTTTTATTAGTTTTATTTCTTGATGAATAATTATTAAATTTAATTGTTGTTTTGTGAGTTCGTTTTTAACAGTTAACTTTGAATTTTTTCTGATTTTAATGCGTCACAAAAAATTTGAAAATTTAAGTGTAACGTTTTTAGACAATTTTAATTAAATTAATTTTTTAATTTTTACACTTTTAGGGTTTTTTTTTTTTTTTTGACAAATTTATTTAACATAAATTTCTTTATCATACTTGTGTAGTTTTACAATTATTTAATTAAAATTTTATTATTACACTTGACGCATCCTACCGACTGCGCCAATTTTATTTTAATTTTTTTTTATTTAAAGTTTTCTTGTTTAAAATAAATGCACAAAGAGTTCAATTTACAATTTTATTTTATTTTATTTATTAATCAAAGTTTTTATTTAAAATAAATGCACAAAGAGTTTAATTTACAATTTTATTTGAATTTTATTTTATTTTATAAATTCAACAAGTTAACTTTCTTAAGTTTTAACACGAACTAACTTCTTATCATTACTTTTACTTTTTAATTTTTTTATTATTTTATAAAAGAACAAACGCTTTACAACAACAATTATTACGTTTGCCATTGACCTACTTATTATTACGAAATCTAAAAATTAAAACTTAATTCATAATTTTTTATTGGTGTTTCAAATTCATTAACCTTTGTGCATACGTTCTAATGTTTCAAGCAAAAAATAAGTTCATTTGGCTTTCCGCTTGAAACTTTTATATAAAAAAAACAAAAGGAAATAATGAATGCAAATTTTGATTTTAATAAAAAGAATAATGTTAAATTAAAAGGTAATGAAATTTAATTAAAAATGAAATTACGAAATTATTGAAAGGGTGAAATATGTAAGTTTCCATTAGATTGATACGCGTGTTGTGTTGCTAACATAACAATATGAATTATTTCCTTTTTATTCTTTGGTAGTTTTATTAATTTTTCACACTTCATTATAATATTATCAGCAGAAACGCATGGACAACTTTCAGGTAACGAGTCCAAAATATCTGAAGAATATGGACAAATATCCCAATGAAAACCGTAATCCTTTGTTTCCATTTGTTTTGAATTTTTGTAACAAAAATTTATAATGTTCTTTTAGATCAGTAGAACGACCTTCTAATAAAATGTTATCATATTTAATAATAAAATTATTCAATTTGTATCCGAATTGTGATATACCCATGCTTTATGAATTACAACTTGATATAAACTAATGTTTTATTTCATATTAAGCACCTCTTTCTAATAATTTTATCCGGAGTTCAAAATTATTTAAATGTTCTGCGGTTTCAGTGTTTACGAAATTCATAGTGTTATCTATTTTATTTTCCATACTTTTCCAAAGAAATTTACTTTGTGTTTCAATTCTATCTTCGATAAAAGTTTTCATCTCAGAGTCTAATTTATCCATTTTGTCGTTTAAAATTTGCAGTATATTATGTTTTAAACTTTTAAATGAGTTATCTTAATATTGTACTACTGACATTAATTCCTCATCAGCAAATTTCTTTGTAGTAGCGTCGTTAGGGTTAATGGGATCCCTAAGATTTATTAATTGTTTATTTTGAATATCATAATCCCCATTTGAATTTATTTTAAAATGTGAAAAAGTATAGGACTTTGTCGTGGAATTTTGTGTGATGCACCTTGATGGTTTTTTTTGTTATTTTGTTTTTTTAATTTATTCAATTATATTAGCTTCTCTTAGTTCTTCAATTATGGAATTGATTTCATTCTGATGATTATTATAACCATCTAATTGTGATGCAAGTAAAAGCCTTAATCTATTTACCAGCTCATTTGGATCATCTCAATGAGTAGTTATACTATGGGGTTTCTGTTACACATTTTTCGAGGAGAGCAGGAAAACCGACTTTAACAATTAAAATGGAAAATTTATTCAATAATCCCGCTATTGATGAGAGCACAACAGGTGCGCACTGGCATACATATTCACCATTTTTTAATTCATTTAATAAAAGTGATATTATACGCATACAAATACAAAATCAAAATTTAAACATTTTACCTTCTACCAGTTTACTTTATATTGAAGGTACTATTACAAGAGCTGATGGCAGTGAAACAACTAAAACAAAACTTATAAATAATGCTATTGCATTTTTATTCGATGAGATACGGTATGAGTTAAATGGGAAAGAAATTGATAACAATAGGTGGGTATAACATCATGCTCAAAAAATTACATTTCATTAAACAAAAATGAGAGTCAAGCACTTATTAATGGTAGCTGGTCACCTGAACAATCAATCCAACCACAAACTTTATTTTTTAATTATTGTATTCCGTTAAAAAGACTTTTAGGATTTGCGGAGCACTACAAAAATATTTTGTCGAATGCAAAATATGAAATAATTTTAACACGTTCAAGATCTGATGATAATTCCTTTCTTTGCTCTGATGTCAATGAGAAACCGAAAATTCAACTGACCATAGTGCAATGGAGAGTACAGCACATCAATTTAACTGATACATTGAAATTGAACTTGTATAGCAATATTACAAATAACGCAAAAATAATGCTTTCAGAAATTGGGAATTGTACGAATATCCATCGTTACCACAAAATAGTAATCATCATATTTGGAATGTAAAAACAACAACTCAATTGGAAAAGCCACGTTGCATTAGTTTTGCTCTGCAAACAGATAAATTTGATCAAGTAACGAAGGATCCATCAAAATTTGATCATTGTAATATAACTGATCTAAAAGTTTACCTTAATTCAGAGTGCTATCAGTAGGAAGAAATGAATTTACTATTCGAAAGAAATCGTTACGGCATTGCTTATGAAGCGTATACAAGGTTTCGAAGTAGTTATTATAATTATCCTATATCTGAAGCTTTATTATCTTTAAAGGAATTTAAAGAAAAAGCTATGATTTTGATAATAGATACTCGTTATCAAAATGAAAATCTAAAAATGGGACCGGTTGATGTTCTAATTGAAATGAAAAAATCAGCTGCGATGCCGGATAAAACAACAGCGTACTGTCTTATGCTGTACGACAGATTAGTAGAATTCACACCTTTGACTTGTGAAGTTAATAAAATCGTTTAATGAAATAAAAAAGAATGAAAAATGGATTATGAAATAATTGATATACAAGGTTTAAAAGATAACAATAATAACTTCATATTAAAAGAAACTGCTATTCTTTCATCAAATGACGAAATACAGCATTTTATTATAAAACCTCCCTATAGATATCATATACTTACATCTAAAACTAAGTATACAAATAATTGGTTGACAAAAAATCATCATAGATTTCGATGGGTGGATGGGGTGTCGAATTTTTGTGATATCATCAATTTTTTAAAGCTATATATAAACAACAATGCATTCATATAAGTGAAAGGAGAGGAAAAGAAGATCTGGATTGAAAGAATTTTAAATCATAGCAATGTAATCGATTTGAGCAAAACAAATTCAACAAGTCCAAAAAAATTTAATAATCAACAAAGTAAATGTGGTTTTAATCATGTTGGAGCTTGTGCTGTGAGAAATGTGTATAATTTGAGCGTTTTTTATTCAGTCTAATATTAATAATTCATTTGAATTATTAATTCTGTCAAATCAATCAATCAAAAGGTTATGAAAAACTTCATAACACTTCCACAGACTCAACCAAAAAATGGCAAGACGAAGTAAAACAACAATATCAGAAAGAAAATCAGAACAGTCAACACAATAAAAAATCTAAATGAATCCCGATAATCAATGAAAGTCTGTAACAAAAATAAAAAAAATTTTTTTAATGTATAAAAAATTGGTTTTTAATTTTTATGTAAGAAAAAATTAAAATAAACAAGAGCTATTTAATTATTCGAAAATTTTATAATAATGTATAAAATAAAAAAATTAATCATATTTTTTTGTTTTATTTTTGATAATAATAATAATTAGACCATATGAGTTTCGTATTATTGCAATATACATGTTAGTTTTTTTATCTTTTTTTATTTTTTAGACTTAATAGCTATAATTTTATCATGATCCGTGATAATATTATAAATATTGTATGGTAGTCATTCTCTTATGTTAAATACTATTATGATTATTACATAATATGTTGAGAGAGCTTTGTTAAAATTTAACAAAAATTTTAAAAAAGGAATCTTTTTTTGTTAAATTATGAACTCTAATTGAAAGTTGTTGTTTTCTTTTGAACGAATAACACTTTTACATAATTTCCTTGTTTTCTATCTTTTTATTTAGAGCATTAATTATATCAGGTGTGTACCTGGAACCATACTGCCAGGACAAGTACGTGTAGAATCTCTTGAAATCTAAATAAATGCTTCTAATTACTTGACCATTTGGACCTCTGAATTTTGAATCTCTTATTTCTAATTTTTCGATTTCATATTCTTTGTTGAGAATTAAATTTGCTATTGAAAAGTACCCCTTAGTTTCGTTTTGGACGTTGTTAAGCTTGTGCACAAATTTGAAAAGATCTACCTCGTTTTGCTCAAAAGTTCTTCTGTTGCTTGAGGATGCACCATCTTCGTCCAAGAAATCCATGTCAAAATTTAATTTTTTTTATACGTTAGTTCTTCCTCCAGACATTATTATGATTTAAAAAGTTATTTAATTAGCTGAATTTATAATAGACTGTGTTCAAAGTAATTAATTTTACAATAGATTCTTTAGTGTATTTATACTAATTTTTCGGCCAATTTCTTTTTGGGTGGGAGTTTTTTTCTAA